ATCCAAAAGAACTCATAGTAGGTAAGGAAATCATACTAATTTTAAGGTTACTAGGACATGCATACCTCAGGGCTTATGCCAATTGACCATGTGTAACAGAAGGAACTAAATATATTGAAATTCAACTAGAAGTCTTAGGCAATACTAAAGAATGCAGGATTTGAAAAAGTCGAAGCATAATACTAAAGTTTTCCAACAACAGAGCAACATATTTTGCTAAACATTAATACACATAAGATTCATGTAGATCAAGGGGAACAGTAGCTCAAACATAAAGGATTGAGTAGAAAGGGACTAATTATTAAAGCAAATTCTGGGCAGGCAATAATTCCCTAGGATTTTCAGTGCAAGTATTCAAAGTGAGACATGAAAATGGTACAATAGTAAACAGTCAATGTAAGCATACATAAACATAGCATCTTCGAGCAAGCATAACAGCCCAGAATTGACTACACTGATTGAATATATGAAAACTTATACAAGTTCAGATGAAGGATTGCAGAAGAAATTCAAAGCAAAGGTCGGCACATTATCATATTGGCTTCGAAAAGTCCACATAACAAGGATGTTCAGAAGCATGATCACAAACAGGGAAGAAACATAATTGCGAGGGTTTGAACACTTACCAATTTGCAGTTTAACAATAAATAGAGAAGAATCACCAAGTTTCAGTAGCACAGTAAGAACAACAGCAAGAATTCCAAACCCTAGTGTGTTAGAGTTCACATGAGCTTCGGATGAGCCTCGAGCGGTGCTCGCACTAGGGAGGTAGTTAGAGAAGATTTCGAAGGCCTATGCTTTTAGCCGGTCAAGATCTTAAATTTCAGAATAGTTTAGAGTGCGTGAGAGTGAGAAAGCAGTAGCAGTGGCAGTAGGTAAGTCTTAGAGAGGAAACAGGGAAGACAGTTTGTATAGAGATCGATTTGAACAAACAAGCATGGGAAACAATCAATTAAACATAAATAAGACAAGAAAATATCTAATGCAAATTAGAATCGGTAGAGGAGATGGAAAATCTCAAACCCTAATTGGATTCAACTGTTTGAAAATCAAACCAAAGGTGCAAATCGTTCCTTGTCGAGTGTATATGGACAGAGTACCGTCCAAATCCCAGAGATTCGAGTCATCCTAGTCCGATCTTGGAAGTGGTACTTGTCAAAGTTAGGTAATTACCTAAGTAATACCATAAACGGACGACCAGTAACAGAGGAACATAGATATGGTAAGTAAATAATGGGTGAATCCCATTATCAACGGGATTCGGAGAGGGATTAAAAAGGGGAGGCGACTAGGGTTCTTCAGAAGGGAGAGGGAGAGTTGAGATTGCTTAGGGGACCGCTTGGGGAAAATGGGTATTAGGGTTTGGGATTGGGTAGTTAAAAAGGAGAGGTGACGTGGGCCGTTGATCTTGAGAGATCAACGAGCCAGGATTAAAGAAATAGGTGGGACAGGTCGTTTAATGGGTCTGGACCAGGTTTGGGGAGAGGGTTACTTGGTCTAGGTTGTGGGGCATTGGGCCCATGGTTTGCGCCAGCTTTGGTCCGAATTTTGGCCTTATTTTGGGCCAGATTTTAAAAATAAAGAAATTAAGAGAAAATAAATTAATAAAATAGCTCAATAGGTACAAAAATATTATTTAAGAAAATAAATACTTTAAAATAATGGTTGAAGGTTGTAAACGTATAAAAAGTTATTTTGACCTTAAATAAAATAATAAATGCAATTAATTATAAAATATAGGGTATTATTACAAAAATATGTATACACCATAAAAATACAAATGTAATTATATAAAATAAAGTAAAATATTATAAAATATGCACGTGGGTGCAAATAATAAATTTGGATGATTAAATCACCCCAGAATAATTTGAAGGGATAATTGATGAATATTTGAATAATTTAAATGAAAGAAAATGTATTTTAAAGTCTTAAACATTATAGAAAATACTTATATGACCCTTATGAGTTGGGTAGTAGTGCAAAAATGGCATTCTGAAACTATATGGAATACTTATAAAATTGAGGAAAAAATTGGATATCAACATGCATATGTTTCATGATGGATATGTGACTTTATTAAGCTGTTTAGTCAGAGTGAGTAAGTTGACTTGAAAGTAGTTATGCTAAGGAGTCAGTTTCTGAGGTTGAGATGTACCGAAGTTGCTATTTGATTATTTGGAACTGTTCACTATTGTGCTTGGCATGTTTTGAACACGGGAAGGTAAGTAAAGAATGTATATGCAAAGGGCTAATTGTTGATATCAACAAAAGTTATTGGTGCTTGAGCTTAATTGAAAAATTGTGGCGTGATAGTGCTAAGCTTAATTTTGTTCGGTCTATAGGTTGATTTTACTTTGGTTGAAGACGAATAAAGGTTTAAGTGTGAGCGGTGATGTTAGGCATATTTTCATATGTTTTAACTAGATTTTGGTGCTATTTGGTGTTAAAAATGGCCAGCACGTATTAATTATTGGTTTTATAACTAATTAAGTTGTGTATGATGATTTAGGAGGTTTGGAGTGCAAAAATATGACGAAAAGATGCTCCAGCAATACGAGAAGAGGATGGATGCGTCACATCCAACCTTGGAAAAAAGGCTATTTGGAGCACCCTTTGCAGTGAAGTCTGAAGAAGGCATCCACCTTAGCATCTGCACCTGGGCGCAACAAAGTTGAGGGAACAGAGGGTGGACACGAAGCATCCACCCAGCATCCGATGATGAGAAGTTCAAGCTAAGGCGGATGCGAAGCATCCAACTCAGCATCAATCCCTGAAGCTGATTCGGAAAAGGAAAAAGAAAACTCTGGCCCACGACTTTTGTACGCAATATATAAGCCAAAAATGCATCTTTTAGGTCATCTAACACACTTGGAAGCGGAAAAAAGCCATCACAGAGTTTTGCGATTGTGGAATTCGTCTTGAGTTCTTTTTTTCTCCTTTTATTGATTTCTATGTATTCTTGGGAATTTCTTGAGATTGCTACAATGACTATGCGTGGCTAAACTCGTTTATTCTGGGGTTATAGTTTTACATGAATGTTGATATTCGGATATTGATTTGACGAGTTAATTTATCATATTGGGTTGTTTATTCATATCCTGAGTTTAATTATTTTACTGCCTAGCTAACATTGAAATCTTGAGTTGAACTATATATGAATCTTGAGTTGAACTTGAAAGAGGTAATTCTTGATTGCAATAGGATTGAATAGAGCGCGATCTTGAACCTGGTCATTGGGGAATTGATTTGCGAATACGGATAGAAATATACCTATTTGCCGCCTCTAATCTCGTAGAAATATAGGGTTTAGAATAAATTGAATAGGCGAGTAGAAGTTGTCAAATTTCTACAAGTATTATTGTCCTTGTTGGTTAACAACCCAGATATATTAATAAGTCGAGTTGATTGAAGAATTCAACAGGATTATTACTTAACCATGACCCTAGAATATTATTCTCATTGAATTAAAATCTTTTGTGCTAGGTGTACTAGTTAATTAGTTCTTCTTTTAACCGCAACTTTAGTTAGTAGAATCAATTAAACAAAAATCATCTTGAACTTGTTCTTGACTCGATAAATTAGAAATTGTTTGATTTAGTTGATAATTGATCACAAGTCCTCGTGTGGACGATATTCTACTTAGTCTTTATTACTTGATTGACCGCGTACACTTGCGTATGCGATTTAGGGAAACAGAAAGCATTTTACTCGTTTTATTTTATGTGACGTCGAATGACATAAATTCTAAAATGTTAATTTGACTTAAATGTCTAATAATACTTAAGTTGCTTTCACAGATTACGTATACGCCAAACAGGCATGCATCAGCCATATTTATCTATTAGTTGTAACTGACTATATTAAGAAAGACATGCTTGAATTCTTTAAAATGTTTAATGTATATGTACGCTACCTAAGCTATCATTTCTAGCATATCGGGGGCGGATCCAAAATTTAAGTTCTATAACTTATTTTTAAGATTCTTAGCATTGAATTCGTTCTAATTTTAAAGTTATAAATTCATATATATTATTTGTTACAATTTTAGTGGATTTCCACGCCGAAAGTATAGGTTCATACTAGAGGTGTCAAACGGCGGGCTGAGCTGATTTTAGTGGGTCAAAATGGATTGAGTCAATAAATAGGCGGGTTATTTATTGGGCCGGGATGAATTAGATAAAGATGTGCTAAAATTTGGGTTATAGCCCAACCCGCTCAACTCTTAGCAAGCTTTAATTAATGTGTATTGTTTCTTATGAATGGTTTAATTATCAAATAAGACATTTTTTTCTTTTGTTATGGTCATATGTAATATGTCGAACAAAAAAGAATTATTTTAAAGAAATTTTAGCAAAATTACTCATTGATCAATTTGAGCTAAAAATCAGCCGAACTTTAGATGGGCAGAGTTCAACAAATGGACAAGTCAATGACTGGCCCCTTGGGCAGGTCAAATGGGTTTGAGCTCAAATTGACACCCCTAGTTCATACGAACCCAGTACTACTAGAGGTATCAATAGATATTTAAAAATCGATTAAACCGACCGAACCGTACCGAACGATTTTTAGGTTTCTTTTAATATAACCGTAGATTTTTATATAAATCTATCGTCGTGCCGATAATTTGGGTAGGTTTTTTATTTTATGAACTTAAACCGCAAAAATATCGAACCGTACCGAATAAATTTATATGTGAAAAATATATTTATATATTAAGTTTAAAATAAATACAGAAAATTAACCGAACTGTACTGATATCGAAGAGAAACTGACATGATTGGGAAGGTTTCGAAAAGTCTAATTTTGATTATACATAATAAAATAATCAAAAAATTGATATAGTACAAATTTTATAAAATAACCAGCCGAATCGAACCATTTACGCCCCAAAGTAATGGTACATTGCATACGCTCCTAGAGCAAAGAAAACAACTCTACCCAGCAGCATAGTAAAGAATAAGGAAGTGATTAGTACATGAAAATGTTTTTAAAGTAAATGACTTGAACAAGCAGTTCTTATTAATTCACTAATACACAGAATCATCAGCATTTGCTTTATTGCTTACTACTTTTTTGTTAATACTGATTGAAGCACAACATTACTTCTTCAGTCCTGTGTAATCAATAGGAAGAGAAATTGGCCACGCAGGAAGCATGAACAAGAATGCTGATGACCAACAAGGTAATAATCTTTGAATCATATCTGGAACATCATCTGGATCACCAAGGCAGAGTCGACTGAACGGTGAAGCCGGTAAAGCACCGGCTTTAGGCCACAAATTTTGTTGAGCCGCCCTTGCAGCAAGGACATCCAACTTCAATGTTTTCATGTTATATGAAACAACAGCATCCCCGAAACCAAGGTATAAGATGTTGGAATCAAGCGGATGGAAGGCGATTGGAGTAGGAATGAGCCCAGTTAACGCTTTGCTAATTAAAGTATCATCAAACACGATGTCACGGATCTTTACCCTGTGCTGCAGAGTCCAATTTGAAGAGTCATAGTTGTCAAGAATCCAAACGGAAAAACCCGAAAATCCGAAGGGATACGAGGGCACAAGAGATACCTCGATATACCTCAAGTGATCCTGATGAACATCACACAAAGTAGGACTTCCGTTATTTCTAGCATCATTACATTGCTTATCAATATCATTAGGAAGTCCAATTATCCGACATTGATTCAAGTCATTGGAAGGATTAAACGCCATAATCCCAAGTCGACGATCAATCCAATGTAGGTTCCCATTCAGAGCAACAGGCCTCCTGAGCGACACAACTTCAATTGGTACATCATTATGAACAACAAGACTTCTCCAACTTCCAGTCTCAGACGAGAATATCTCAAACTTTAGGATATACGACTCGCCAAATTGACAACCAAATCTCACAACTTTAAAACTCCTCAGAGACCCCCCTTCAGATTCCGTTAAAAAACCATTACTAACATGTCCAAAACGCATCGAAGGTGGAGGAAGCGCAACGCATTGCCCTGTAATAGCATTATAAATGTGATAATCACTTACACATCGATTGTACAAAACTAGCCCCTCACTCACTGCTACAATGGTATATCGTTCATCTTCAGGACGAGCAATACAAGGGGAATGAATTGTACAAAATCTTGGATGTAACCGATTATCAGAGAGCAAATCAGGCAAGTATGACTGAGCAAAATAGTTAACACCATTATTAACACGCAGAGTATCAGCAAGAATGGTCCAAATAGGTGCTTGTTGGGGCAACACAGAAGCTCTAGAAATATAAAGGGATACAAAAGAAGGTGCAGAAATTAAGGAAAGCCACTGTTTTGAGACACATTTGTACCTAAAAACACATTTTACAGGCAATCTTAAGAAAACTTCTTCCAAGAACCAATTAGGAAGGTACTCATTCTTGAAAAAAATCTTTGATTTGGGTTTTGCAAGTTTTCTATTAATGGGGTTGTCAAAATTTGTTTCCTTTATGTTATGAACATAAAACTCCATTTTTTTAGCTTAGATTTGGACAATAAAGAACTGAGTGGGCAAATCTTGAGGGGGTCAAGAAATAAAGAAGAAATGAGCTTAGATTTAGAGGACTTAAGATTTTACCTATTTATAGCTTGAGAATATGTGTAAATATGGCTTAGAGTCAAGCAGACTAAAAAGGACTTGTAAAATTTAGAAGACAGATTTTCTCTCCTCGTGGATTTGCCCATTCCTGCAATTTGCTACTGACTCTATTTTCTTAGTCTCTTCCGGTATACTGGTATACCATTTTTTTAATAACAACCAAATAAAAAGACTATATAAATAAATAGAGAGTAGTTATAGAAATTTATTAGAGTGTATCTTGGGTAATGAACTCTTGATTATTAAAACAATTACAAAGAAAAATAAACACTTCTTGATTTGGTGATGGAACGGTTCCGGTCTCCAAAATTTATTGGGGATTGACAGGGATGGCCGCCCCCTAAGCGGCTGATCTTAGCCGAAAGTTTTAAAATTGGCGTTATTTAAAAAATGATCCCTGAAACCGCATTTAATTATTGTTGTTCAAGGTTTCTCTACTGATGGTAGAATTTATGCTATATTTACTTTATATATATGTTAAGTTGCATATTAAAGTCTATCTGGTTGACATGATTTCGCTATTCAAGAATTTCTCTACCGGATTGGTAGGGTTTATGTTATATTTTACTCTACATATCTGTTAAGATGCTCATCAAAATCTACCAGGTTGGCATGATTTCGCTGTTCAGATATTTCTCTACTGGATTGATAAAGTTTATGTTATATTTATTCTATATACTTGTTAAGTTGTTCATCAAAGTCTATCAGGTTGGCATGATATTTAGGAATTTCTTTACAGGATTAGTAGAATTTATGCTATATTTTACTCTATTCGTTAAGTTACTCACCGAAATTTACCCGATTGACATAATTATTTTGTGTTGTTTTAACAAAGTATTATTCGAATTTACAATTTCAATTTCGATCAAAGTGTTCTGCTTCAAATGATCTCAAATTTAAAATAAAGCTTCCAAATATCAATATAAACAATCCCCAATTACTAATTTAGTCAAATAACACTAAATCAAAAAGACCCACTTTATCTTTTTCAACACTTTCTAAGATCCAACAAAGAGTTTAGAGTTATTTACACTACATCACTAAATCGGCATTTGAACTAAAAAAATTTTAGGAAAAAATTATCAACAATCAAGCGATTTTAACAAAAAAATGAATCATTAACCTTTTACTTTCCACCATCAAATACGAATTTCAAGCTTTAAATATAAATTATGGTGTTCCAATTAAGATCGTAAAAAATAGGGATGTTCCGCCAAAAACAATCCAAACATACCGTGCAATTTTTCGGTTCCCTACCAAGAAACTATTCATATCCGTTACATATATTTATTTTAGAATAATGAATTGGGAAAGGCTAATGGGAATGAGAAAAAAAACATAAAGAGATTTTTAACTGCACTTAGTGTGTAGAAAACTTACATTGATATCACTAGATTATAAGCCGTGATTATTGGTTGAAACATATTAGTTTTTTTCTACATTATGTTTTTTCCTTTTTCTTTTAGAGATAAATATCAATAAAATAAAATAACCACTCAAGTATCCAAAATCCATAAATTTATGAATACTTTGCAATTCGTATTTTTTGTTATAAAACAATTGGCTCTGTATATCTAACTTCTTTTATTTTAAGTATTTCAATTAAAACTGCATATATTTTCTTTGCAATTAGTGAAATAGTAACCAATAAAATCTAAAATACATACATCGTGAAAAAGGATGAAGGTAGTTACAAGCAATTATCAGTAATTGAAACATGTAATTTTATTTTTTTCTTTCTCCTTTTTAGGGTGAGGAAATTCATGATATCTCATTCTTTAAGAACATATCAATAACAGAAAAAAATTAAAATGAATCAAACAAGAATAAACGTAATATAAAATAAAAGAGAGCAAATATTATTTTACTTTAGTGATAAGAATTAGAATTGGTCAAAAAGTCCAAAAGACTTATTTTCATGCTTCTTGATTTTTTTTCCTTGTCAGCTAAAACGTTAATTAGTTGGTCTTGAGAAATAACGTCCTTTTTCATTTTAAAGTTGAATTCTAGTGTCTTCAATTAGTAGTCTAACTTAATTATAAAAAACTAATTTTAGGTACATTAATTCTTCATCTTCATTAATCATTATAATGCAGCTGGTTAATCAACTCTGTAGGTAATATTATGCTTGCCTTTCTTCAATTAAAAAAGATATTTTATCCGCTTCAATTTATTTGATGGTATTTGGGCGAATATGAATTCAATATGCTAGTGAAATGAACTAAAAGATTAAAGTTGTGGTTAAAAAAAAAAGAAGCAAACCTCGCATCATAATCATAGTAAATAGTTTAATAAATTGATTTTTTTTAAAGTTATATAAAAATAGAATGATCTTAAATATATTTGGAGCATTCCAAAATTGAAAGAGTATCAGTTATAATTGGAGCGGATAAAATCATAAAATAATCTTTAGAGGTGCGCACAAGAGTGTCAGTATCTGTCTTAAGAGATTTATTGAATATATAAAAATTATTAATTTAAAATTTCAGTAACTTAAAATAATTAATCCATAAATTTTAAATATTGACTATGTTTACGTATAATAACACTTAATTGCTGTCCCGTTACCATAATTGTAAAAAATATGTAATAAGAATTACATATACGCAAACAGCAGCTATACAATACATAAAATATATATTCGTGTGACATGCGCCGCCTTATTTACTTATTTATCCTATCTAAGGGGGGCAAGTGAGCCGGTTCGGGCTCGAGACCGGTCCGGGACTGTGGGCTAAATGGGCCGGGACTGGTAGGACCGTTAGAGGTGGGCTTGGGCCAATCTCGTGAGCCGGTTCTTGAGTAGGAACTGTTAGGACCAGCACCGTTTGGCCCGCCTTAGATATAAATTTACAAGGTATTGCCTTAAATATTTTTTTGATATATTTTTACTATTTCCAAAATTTGAAAACCACATTCCTTTTTTAGTTTTAACAATGTGAATATGAAATCTTCTCATGATGGCTGTGATTCAAAAAGGTTCGCAATTTGAACTTAGAATATCAGGCATACTACTATTGACTGTCAAATGGTTATCTTAATATTCCAAAAGGTCCAAAAAAAAAAAAAAATATTCCCCAAAAAAATAATATTCCAAAAGGTCTGCATTTGATCGGATTGCATTCATCAACTGTTAGTATTATATGTTAAAGTTCTAAAGGTTTTGGCTGCATCTTCTACGAAGGAGCAGATATAAAAAATGAAAAGTCACTACAATTAATTGGTGGATTTAGTAACCTGAAAAAACAATTAGATCATGTTAAATTGTATTGGTAATGCAAAACGATATTACTTTTTAAATGAATATAAGATAAATTGTTAATAGTTTAAGAATATCTATGCACTAAGGGCAACCCGACGAATTTTGTGGCTTAAAGCCAAACTTTGACGAGAGGCCTTAACTTTTTTTTTATAAAGAATATTTTTTTAGTTGAAGTTTATTTTTCTAGCTTTTTTCGATGCAAAGTTATTAATAATTTTCTTATAATCAATTTCTTCTAATAAGTCTTCCTCAATTGACAATAAAACTAATCCATTTAATCAGTCTTGAGATGTTGTTGATCTTAGGTAAGATTTTATCAATTTTATTTTAAAAAACTTTTTTCCGGCAAAGCAACCGTAACAGGAGTTGTTAACATTATTCTATAAGCAATATATGTATTTGAAAAATAATTCAGTCTTTTTATTTGATTAAGTATATTGATTAAACTGTTATCTTCTACTTGTACTATTTTCCTTAACTTTCAATTCAGAAAATAAATCTAAACCATCAATATCGATTTGATAATTATGCTTTAAGGAACCTTCAATCACTATGTCAAATTTGTTTTCCCTTTTTATTCAACTTCTGATGTATTGTATTTTGTTACTTTACGAAATTTTTTTTCTTTTATATATAACCTAAGATAATTATAGGTAAATCCTTATGATTATTACTATATTAATTGATAACCTAGTAAAAATAGTGCAATTAACTTGTTATCACAGATTAAAAATTATTTATAATTTAAAAAATATTTAAGTGTCCGTATATATATAAATCTTTACGAATTCGTTATTATCGAAATATGATAAATTATATTCCTAATTACCATCAATAGATACTGAACAACACAGCTAAAAGGCAGACTCTGATACCACATGATGAAATTCGTATACAAACACAAAGCCAACGCAGTGGAAATTAATTAAGAAATATACCTTCATCCATAGTCGTTCAAGTATTGTAGAATCGTCTTGGAAAACTTGACAGAAAAAACCTAGGAGACTCCTAACCTGTGCCTATCGTTGGATGTCAGACTGATGGAGTCACATGCATATTTATAGGTAGGCTATGGATTCTTAGGCAAATACTTTAGCCCTAAGGACTTCTTCCATAAAATACGGTTACCCTAGGAACTCATAATTAATAGTTTCCTTCCATCAAGGAAACTTCTAGATATGCATAACAATAAAATCTTATCTGATAAGGTAATTACTTGGGAGACAAGTTAATCAAATCAATTACCATAATATGTGGGCAACAAAAGTCTCTTGAAAGATACGTGTAATTCTGTCACGACCCAAAATCCTAACCTGTCGTGATGACGCCTATCGTGGTACTAGGCAAGCCGACATTACAGAATAATCCCAACACATTTAATAGAAAATGAATTAAAGTAGTCTAAGTAACTAAAATTCTCATAAACAGGGATAGAAACCCAAAACTCAACGCGAAATTCCCAACTATCGGGGTGTCACAGAGTGCATGAGCATTTATATATTACAAGTCTGGAAAACACGGTCTATAATAGTCTGAGACTAAATACAATCAGCAAGAAGAAAGGGAAGGAGAGACAAGGTCTGCGAAATACCGGCAACTACCTTGGAATCTACGGAAGATCAACTACGCGAAGAAATCAATACCCACTGTGTCCGGGAGCATCTGGATCTGTACCCGAAGTGAAGGGTGTAGTATGAGTACAACCAACTCAATAAGTAATAATACTAAATAAAGAACTGAAAGTAGTGACGAGCTTCACAGCTAAGTCCAATTACAGTAATTTCCAACATAAGAAGGTAGGCGTGCTTTCGAATTCAACATTTAAGACCCACACGGTAATTTCATATCAAGTTCAACTGAAAGAGACGATAATATCTCTCAAACATTTCCAAAA